CGATCTTTAGGGCGCTTGTATGTTATTGCCTCATCCAGCAGTGCTTTCAACTGACCATCATCCAAGTTGGACACATCAGGGTTCTTATCTTCTGGCTGAAAAACCAAATATAATTTCTTATTCAAGAAGAATGAAACCAGTCCAAAAATTCAGCTATTCTTGACTCATGACTCACAATAATGCAAAAAAACAAGTCGAAAAGAAGGCACTATATACAATCTCTGAGTACATACATGACATTCCAAAAAGAAAATTTTGACTAAGGGATTCTCAAACACATATATGTCTCCATTAAAATCAGAACATATTTCTCTCCACTACACATACTACAAAATTAAACTGGTGTGGCACTGTTTCATATTGGCACACTTGAACTATACATTCTTCTTGGACATTATTTTCTAAATTAAAGTATGTATATTTACTACTGCATTCAGTTTCCATTCTGGTGCAACCATTTTCGCCAGTCACTTCCAGTCCCTTTGAAAGTACGTATCTCAAATATTAACCCACCCCCAACTTGTCACCAAGCCACACATCAATATTTCTACCAAACACTGCAGTCTCTCATATTACAGCAGCAGAAATACAAAGCTAAAGGTACCGGTAACTGTGCCTTGTTTATCAGTTCTCTGCCCCAAGTGGTTTCATCATGATAAATGTGTGAAGTGGGGCAGTAACATCAAGCAATGTGTGATCTTGAAACTTCATAATAAGCAAGTATAATCTGAAGCTTTCATAGCAACAAAGTATAATGAATTCTTCAGGTGGCTGAAAAGGTAAAAACACCTTTTCACCTTTCAACCATCAGACATGACTGGTAGCCCTCCCAGATTCCATTATTATTATTATTATTATTATTATAATAAGAATTAAAAAATATCAACATTTTTCAAACATTAATTTTTTTCCATAATTACCTTAGATGATTAATAAACATGCGTGATGACTCCAGGGACTTTAAGTGAGAGATAAAATGTATATGGCTACAAATGTTCTATGAAACAGTACTTACATAAAAAATAATCTGCAGGTTATAAGGACACCTTATATGGATTATAAGTGATTGTAACTGCCTAAGATAAAAAGAATGGAGGACAGTAGGTTCCTGCCTGCAGAATAGTTTCACAGTCATGCCACAAAGCCAAATAAAACTCAAATTTCACACAAACCTTAAACTAAAAATACCCATGAAACAACAAATACCAACCAATACTTGAATACAGCCACATAAATTCACTTCCCATAGCACAAAAAATTAATACTTCAAAATCAAGTTTTTGGAAAATGTTTAAACCACGACATCAAAAACAAAGTTCATGCTCAGGTCACTATTCACACTGGCAACTGATGCCATGCTGTGGATGTTTCATTTTCAGTACTAAAGTAGACATGAAATAATTATATTATTTTAACCAATTACATCATAAGCCACACTGCAGTTACTGACAATATTATTCATGGCTCTTAATTTATCTTTCTATCATAATCAGTACACAAATTTAAAAATCTGATGGGTTTTTAACGGTTCCAATTAAAGAATCAATATCATAGCTTGTGATCTGAACATTTATAAGGCATATTAACAAGGGCAATAATGGAATACTTTCACTGCATGATTGACAACACTGCTAAGGCTCATCATACTACAGCTCAAGGTCAGATGATATGCTGCAAGTGTGGTTTAGCTGCAATCCATTTGTGTCGAAAGAATGTTGCATAATAATGGTTGCTACAATAGAGGTTTGCACCAAACGTACTAGCAACATTAATGCACAGTCTTGTAGCAATTCCCATAGTTATGCTACAGTTTCCAATTACATTCGTGAGGAAACTGATAGCAAACTAAGGTAAGCTCTTCATTGGTAGCCCCTTGGATAAACTGCCTATGAATCTCTTGGCCTTGGATAATGCAGGATGGTAACAAGGTTAACACAGCTAACAAGGTTGAAGTCACAAAAGGTTCAGATGAGAATACCACCAAGTTATGCATGGCAGACAGAGATTATAAAAGAGTTTACTGGCTATTTTAAGAAACTTAGGACACCATCATTCTCCTGTCATAACACTACTTTCACACAACATAAATATGTGTGTGAGTGGGCAATGGCAATACAAACTTTCACTTCCAGACAATTTTCAACTGGACTCATTTGAAGGTGTTTTTTTGCTTGTTGGTGCGGTTTCATAAACTGTATAATACTGTTCAACTCAATTACCTCCTATGACTTTTAACTTAGTATACACAATTTAAACTAAATTCCGTACAATACCACTTCCCTCACCACCAGTCAGTCAAACTGTTCCATGTCTTACCGGTGACCTAAAAATGGCCTGTAATGGACAATATTAAAATTAAGGCATAAAAATTACTGAGAGATTTCACTTCGCCTAATACCCAACCTCCAGATCTGTGATGTAATTTAGGCCATCCAGTTGGACTGGCATGTCATCAGTCACTTAGGGCGGCGTTTCTGACGTCAGAGCTTGCGAAATACACATGCACATAATAGGAAAACTACAAAAATAACTTACAATATTGGTGAAAATTTGGTTACTGCTTCATGTAGTACACTCCAGGTGGTTTTGTTACGTATTGTACGTCGCACGAATGCTGAAATGCTAATATACCGCAAAACACTGCGTCACCGTGCCCTTTTTTCCTTGAACAAATGAATAAACACTTCCAAAGAGCAAAATAGAAATATTAACAAAGTGTTAATAGTAACTGCAATTATAAAACTAACACCGTAACCGAACATGACGATTTAAAGCAACATTTTTACCAGCCTGAGTATTCGGGCCACGCTTCCAGATAAATTAGTCACAAGGAAGCTGCCATAGCGAAACTCTATTTCAAGTATTAACCGAAAGAAAGCGCCACCGTCAACATGCTGCGAGATTACATACTTAAAGCAACCGGTCAAGGTGGTTTTGGAAAGTATCGTACATTAATTCCGGTTATTTCAAAGTCATTTCCACGAAAATAACAAGATATGGTGATTTTCAAAGAATCCCGTCTAAGGTTTTCTAACGTAAAATTTGCGAATTTTACAATGGGGGTGAAAAAATTCCCAGTCTTACCTTTTATGTACTGAGAATGCGTAAGTTGAAAATCGATCGATGTTGGGGGAAGGGGGTCTATAACGATGTTACAAGGGTACAGCGTAATGGACATTTAATCGGTTAATAGGAACCCCACTATCACGTGACTGGTTAACCACCAACTACTGCCTTACATAAAATTCAATTATAAAGTTCCCTCTTATTACATTAATATAGTATTTTAATGACCTTTTACATTGATTTGCTACCAGACTTGATGATCTTATGTTATCAGGCCAATCATAAGTTTATTTGAAGATATCCAAAAACTTATGCCCTTATTAACATTTCAGTCATTTACATCCTACACGAGTAATTTATAACACATAAATTATACTAAGTACACAAAAATGAAACACCATGAACTTTTTAATGCTTACATTATTATTATGCAGTAATATTGCAGATTCTCCCAGTAAAATAAAAAATAGCTTAAACACAGTCTATGATAAATTAGCCTCTTCTTAACAACTGCTTACACAAACGTT